CAAGTTTCAAGAAGATAGGTACAGGGGTTTTGGGGGAACCGCACCCCAAATTCATGAAAGCAAAATTCATATCATGTGTACGTGTTACAACACAGGGGGTGAAAACTGCAGGGGTAGTGGCCCCTAATGAGGCCACAAAGCCTGCCAAGTTTCAAGGAGATAAGTGCAGGGACTTGGGGGAAACTACACCTCAAGCTGCGGACAAGCAAAACTCACGACGTGTGACACTGTGTGTGTTAAGGTGCATCAGGGTGAAAGCCGCAGGCCTGCTAGCCCCTGCTGTGGCCACAAAGCCTGCCAGCTGTCAAGAAGATTGGTGCAGAGGTTCTGGGGCCCTGCACCCCTAGCTGCTGGCAGGCAAAACTCTTGACATGTGTGCTTGTGCAACTGTGCCTGTCTTGGGGTGTGGGGGACTACTGCAGGCCTGGCTGCTAAGCTACTGTGTTACCAGTCAATCATTATTCACTCAGGGACCAGCTCAATACATAGTAGCTAGCTAATGTAATCAGTTAACGAGCAAGGATTAACACCTACAAAACCACAAACTAAGGAGAGGAAATAATCAATGCAATTAACTGCCCCAAGACAGAGACAGTCAGTTGAACAAGCACCCATGTCACAAATTTTGCCTGTCAGCAGCTAGGGGTGCAGGGCCCCAGAACCCCCTTACACCTGTCTCCTTGACAGCTGGCAGGCTTTGTGGCTGAAGCAGGGGCTAGCAGGCCTGCAGTTATCACCCCACTGCGCCTCAACACACACAGGGTCATCTATGTCATGAGTTTTGCCTGCTAGCAGTCAGAGGTGCAAGGCCCCAGAAGCCAGACTCCCCCTGCACCTATCTCCTTGAAACTTGGCAGGCTTCGTGGCCTCAGCAGGGGTGACCACCCCTGCAGTTTTTCACCCCACTACAGTGTCACTCACACACACACACACACACACACACACACCCCCCATGAGTTTTGCTTTCAAGAATTTGAGATACAGTTTCCCTGAACCCGCAGCAGCTATCTCCTAGAAAGCTGCTAGGCTTTGCAGCCTCTGCAGGGGCTACCTTCCCTGCAGTTTTCACCCCCCTGCGGTGTAACAACACATACACGTGACATGAGTTTTGCTTTCAAGAATTTAGGGAACAGTTTCTCCCAAACCCCTCCACCTATTTCCTTGACACTTGGCAGGCTTCGTTCTCTCAGCAGAGGCTACCACTCCTGCAAGATTTATTTAAATCAGACAAAAAACAACCAAGTTATAGATATTTCATTGATTCCCCATTATACCCTATGGCCAGATCTCCGAAGCGGCTCCAAAGCTTCGGAGCTGCTTTGGCCAAATCGAAGCAGGAAACCGATCTGGAGCTCCGAATCAGATCTCTGGCATCCAAATCGACTGGATCTAAAGCTGAATTGAATAGCTGCCTATTCACACAGGCCTAATGGAGGCAGGGGGCTTGGAACATCCTCCTGCAGCCACATAGATTGCAGCAGGGACAGGACATTGCTGTAAGAGCAGGCATCATCTCCAAGAGCCAGGTTAACTCTTCTCCAGCCCCACAATCCTCCGGGGGTTTTGTGTGTGTGTGTGTGTGTGTGTGTTGGGGGGGAGGGGTGGCGAGGATCCAAAGACCTACATTTGGGGGCCGCTTTAGGGCCAGTAAAGGGTTAACCTGGCTTTTGGTGGTAACACCTTTTGCAGGAACTCCGTGGAGTGCTCGACTCCCTGCATCCATCCCACTATCTCCCTTACTGACTGCTCAGAGCTCATGTGCCCCACACAGCGGACACCTTTGCCACTTGTGGCTCAGGGTAGTTGGCCACCCTTACTCTAATTATTGTAATCAATAACAAGCAGTAGAGTGATATGGCTAGGATACATCTGGTTGCCTTTGAGTCGTCACTCAAATGACCAGGTACCCATTTATTCCTTGATTGACTGGTATCCATTCTGTGGGCCACATATAAATCTCCCCCCGCTTTAGAAATACAGTAACTTTTAAAAAGTCCCATGAAAAAAAATTGGCATCATATTTAAGAATGCTTAAATCAGAAGAGCTATATACGTAAGACTAAAGGAAAAAGGGTCACATGCAACAAAACAAAATGACTGTCTGGACTGAGATTTACAATTTTTCCACAGACTTTACTCAAAATAATTGTGTGCATAGAGTGGCTATTTTTAAGCTGTCCAACCGCACACCACATAGCCTTTTTTAGTGAGCAGGCAGCCAAATTCTTCAGTGTCTGAGAGAACTATAAGTAAGTAATTAAAAAAAAAAATCTAAATATATTTTATAACTCACATGAAAATCCCCACTCTTCCCCCCCGCCCCACCCAGAGTCATTAACCCTTAACATATTTTGATGTCCTTAAAGAAAATACAGCACTTCTCCAACAGGGGATTAATAGAGAATGTATTATAATAGTGTCAAATTCCCAACAGCAGACACATTATGTAATGTGCTACACATCACAAAATGCACCTGAAAAATTACCCTGAGATCATGAAATTGTATCTCCCCATGTGCTCATGAGATGAAGGATAAAAAAAAATCCGAAAAGGAAATAGTGGTAAAAAGATCAGCCTGGCATTACATAAAAATAAATCAGGTTATACAATTAAAACTAGTGTTAATTTCTCATATAGAGGCATCTTCACTTAGATGTTTCTTTTATTTGACAGGGTATGTTTAACCACTAATATTCTGTTGCTCAGCTATGTGTTAGAAATTATTTAAGTTAGTGAAATTGCACTACTTGTATCTCTGAAGACATAGTTTGACAACAGATATCTGTAAGAGAAGTGCTTTCAGAAGCAAAGTAATAAATAGTAACTATGTAAAAATGGTCTGTCCATTCTTACTCATACCTGGTCTTTGCAAAACTTCAGCTGAGTTATTCTTTGAACCTCTTTGCATGACAGAACAAATCTGATGACAGTAGTTTGTATGGTGAGCAAACTTAACTAAATTCAGATTCTAAGCCACCTGTATTACCTACACATAAGCAGCCTGAGTCAGTTGTCCAAACAGGTGGAACAAAGAAGAATTAATCCTGAAAATTAATGGTTTATACACAGATGAGCTAGGTGAAAAGCCCAATACCCCCAGATCACAGGGGAAGGGTCTTAGAAATCTCAAACTGTAAACTGAACAAATTGGATATATTGAGAACACCATAAACATAGAACCTCCCTATGCTATTTTAAGTCATTTTTCAAAACAGATGCAAGTTCTCATCTGTAAACATACTATGAATACATAGCTCTGGTTTTATGATGGTCAATTCGCAGGTGCGGCTGCTATTTAAAATAGATTTTTACAACATTGTTATTTAACAGGCCTTCAAAGAATAGACTGTTTTTAACATCTCTGCAAGAAGTTGTGTATAACATCATTATCCTCATGAAAGAAAGTTAAGGTTTCCTTACCAGATTACTAGCCATATTTTTATACTGAAATTTATGAAGTCAAAATTTTCTTTTCAGCTCACTGGCCACCAGTATAATGAAGTTCATTATACATAAGTATTTTTAAGTAATAACCAAGAAGTGTTTTATAGAATATTATCCAAAAGTTCCAGGAAGATTTTACTGCGAACTTCAATTTTCAGAAATGTATTTGAATTGTGGTAGTACAACCTTCATTTCCTCTCTCTCACTTGGTCAGATGCTTAATAGCAGCATTTTACTTGCTTACTTTAGCTATTTTTTAATTTGGTTTCCCCAGTTTCTCTTTGATGTTCTGATGCTGGCCATCAAGGTTGAAATCCCTCCCCAGATAGTTCAGTTTGAGTAGTAAACCCACAGTTGCTTCATAAAGTCTTGGGCTGATTGCACTTTGCTTTTTCTTTGGTACTCTAAAAAACCTCCAAAATATTGGCTATTCACTGCTTGCTTGCAAAGGTCTTCATTATTGGAATGCATTGTACCTACTATATTGTACTAGTTCATTCTCAAGGAGGCTTTTGGAAGTTTCTGTAGGGCAGCCAAATACAGAATTACCTATATACATCAATGAATAGTGGAAATTACATTTATTTAATTCTAGGACAAGATTTTTCTCCGTTTAACATGGGTGGGGAAGCCCCTTGTCTTAGAATCACATACAAGAGTGGGAATGGGGACTGATGGCTCAGGCTCCAGTCCCTAACCAGGGTCAGGGCGTTAGCAGCAGCTGCTGCTTGTCCCTCCCCACCCCAACTGTCCCTGGGCCCCACCATCTCCCCACTCCAGCCTTTCCCAACCCCTGCATTTCTCCCCTACGCAGCCTCTGCTTCCCCCGTCCCTCCCCCCTTACCTTTGCTCTGCATCAGCAGGCTCTGTCCATGCTGCAGCCTGGGGCACTGAGCCCAGCCCATAGCAGAAGCACGCAGCCTGCATGGCTACCATGGGGGCTGGGCTAGGGCTAGACTCAATGCCCCAGACTGCAGCTTGAACAGAGCTTGCTGGCCTGAAGCAAGGCTAAGGAAGGGAAAAGGCAGAGCAGAAGCTGGGAGGAGGGGGAAGGTGCAAGTAGAAGCTGGCAGGGTACAGTGGGGCCAGGTAGTGGACAGAGGCAGTGGGAGGGTAGCACAAACAAGAGGCAAGCTACCTGACTGCCCAGCACCACCTGCTTCCCCTACTGCCTACCCCCCTGCAGCAGTGGGGGGCAGGAGGGAGGATTAAAGAAGATCCCCAAATAATTATTTTCAATACAAAGAAAATTATAACAAATTTATACATTTTCTATGTATAGAATTTAATTATTGGGGGGTTATCTTATATTCAAGGTCATCTTAAATTCAGTGGCTGCCTAAAGTCAAGCAGCCACACCTGAAAGTTAGGATGTGTGTGCAAAAGAAAGACAACATCTTTGATGAGGATGCCACTGTCCCTAAAGAAGTTTAATCCAAGACAGACAACATGCATCTTTCTATCTTAAGAGTAACATCTTTAGCCCATATTTTAACAGAACCACGGTTCACACACATGGATGGAACACTTCATAACAGGTTTTGAAATTAGTCTATACAAAAAAGAAAAGATTTTATTTTAAATATATTCAGTATAAAAAGCAGACAGTAACTAACAAAGATGTTCACATGTAGTAAAATACCTCCTGCATGTCTTTGTTATGCTGATTTTGACAATGAATATTTTCTTGGTCTGTTCTGTTGCCATTTCAACTTTACACAAGAAACATACTTTTTCAAAGAAAAAAGCTCAAAGTAGGAATATTTAATGGATAGTAAGATGGTGTCTGCAGGTGATTTAACAAGTTTATGCAACATTTGAAAGGATTCATCCACTCCATGAGTCTTATTCTGCTTCCACGACAAAACAAAGAAAATGCAACGTATCATAAAGAAAACCACCAAACTCCTTGCCTGGCAAGTTATGAAAATACTGTTCTGCTATCAACTCAGATTTTCCATGATGTCACTTTGAAGGGTGGAGCAAACTTACATTTTCAAGAAGTGAGTAACTGTTAGACTTGTGGAAAGGAGCAACCTTAGAGGTGCAAATTAATACCTCCTCTTGTGATACAAGCGAATGTCAAAGCTAAGAAATGTCATTCGTTTCACCATTTCTCTCTCTCTCAAACTGTGAGCTAAACAAGGATTTTCTGGTTCATAAACAGAATAAAAACATAATGCTTTGCCATGAGGCAACCAATATGCATGTTATGTTAGTCTCTATTTATCACCCGATACCTTGACCTCTGCACTACCAGATTTACAAGTATTTTAAAACTTTTTAAAACTGAACAAAAGCTCTGGTCCCATATTCTGCAGAACACTCCAAGGCGCTGACATCTTAACTGCAGATGAGTTCAGTGGGATGTCACACAGAACAGTCTGGCTTGTACTATTATACCACTTCATGCTCTGTTAGTGTACATTGGTATAAAATTGCAAAATGAGACCCACTGATTAAAGTATCCCCAATACTAATATAGAAAAAACATTTTAAAAAATGTGAAAATATTCAAAATAAGGACAAATATTTGCAGAGGTCAGTGTAGGTAACACACTATGAAACATTCATTGATCTTATCTGATCTTTTGAAAGGCATTCTGTTGCAAAAAATATACAAACAACCCCCCTGAAACACTGCACATCATGATGCAGCACACACTGGAAATAGCCATGTGAAAAAAATTAACTTCACAACACTCAAATGGCAATGCAGAAAGCAGCCTTTACACCTTGCAGAATGTAAACACTTCCCTTATGGTTAGAGTGTGGTACTAATAATACCAAAATAGCAGGTTCAATCCCTGGTGGGACTAGATGATCTCTTGAGGTCCCTTCTGGCCTTCCTTCTCTATGATAATGATAACTTCTCATTCTTGTTTCCACAGAAGTAATCCCAATCTAGGGCTCTTGCCACTACTGTCTACTGCTCTGTTCATCAAGCTTGAGCTTTATTGACTGAAGGTAACTTATACTCACAGATGGTGTATTTGTGAGAGTTCACCTTGTAAGTGCACTGTGAAGTATTTAAAGACTCATACTGTTTTATACTTCATCATAGTAATCTCTGGTTAGTTTATCATACCAAGCTACCACTGCAAAAAGTGGCAAAAGTATCCAGTAGTGACCAATTATCAAGAGTAGATTTTTGGAAAGGATGGTGATTGTCTAGTAGTAAATTGAAACAGCAGCAAATTAAACCATAATGACAGAATTAGATAAATCCACCAGAGAATACCATTTTGTGTTGCCAGGTGGTAGCCACGATTGTAAATTCTCATGGTACAGCTATATATCAGATCTGAAACTTGTAACATTGAAAAAAGCTCTTATTAAACATTAAAAAAAACCTGAAACAAAAAAGCATCAATTTAGCAAAAGTAAGTAATGCATCAGCTGTATATACATATTTGTATCCTTAGTCTATCTAGCAGCCACTGTTTTCAACATTACGCTGAAGTGTTTTCAAAGTTAGCCATATTCCAACTATTTATAAAAAGGCACAGTTTAAGGAATATAGTTATAATATTTATTGCTTATATAGATTAACACAGCTTTAGAACCATAGCCTATATTTACACTCCTAACAGACTTTACTAAGGCATCATTCAATCCAATCAAGACAAGACACATTTGAACCTTCCTTATCAAAGCATACTCTATTTTAAACAAGGATCAGATGATAGTTTGGAGTTTCAAGCATAAATTGCTAGAAGCATCAGAGACTTGTCCCTCAGAGCTTGTAACCAGCATCTTAACACCTTTACTCAAGTTTTATTTTGATTTCAGAAACCCATCTTTCATTGCAAACAATCAGTGTACAAATTATATCTAATACTCTGAAAAACTCCTTCATACAAAAGTTATCTTCTAAATGGAAAGATATGGCTATCAGACTACCAAGTAGAAAAAATGATTACATTTGGATTTGATTTTACAGCTTTACAGGTGGAATACATGCTATACACAATTAGCAAAAGATTGAGGTTTGTTCAGGATCTACCATTTGGCTCACATAATTATAAAAGGAAAGATCATACTGATATAGAAATGTTGATAGACCCTTGACTATTAGAAAAAAATATATATATTTCCATATTTATAACTCAGTAAAAAAATCCATAAGATGTATAACTGAATTCCATCAAGAAACCTATCACGATAAAGTTCTGACTAATGAAAAAGCCAGGTTAAGAAACCCTTTCGCATAATAGTCTGAGCTGTCTCTATTTGGTAAAACATCTATGGGAAGGGAAAACTTCAGACTTCTTTGGCTCTCTCTTAAAGGCAACTTTAAACAAAAATTAAAGTGAATTTTAGTGCTTGTAAAAGGTGCCAGATTGACAAGACTGGAGATCAGAGTCCTTTTTAGCTAAAGAATGAATGACTATAGACAACACTTCTGTAGAAGCTTTCTCCCACCCAAGGAGAAAAGAGTAAGTCTCTCTTCTTGCCAGGTGTGCCTTCACATCTGTGCTGAATCTGCTAACAAAAGGTAACAGTGTGCAACATTAATTAGGTAAGAATAACTGCATTGTCATCACCAACTTAATTTACAGAAGCGAACAAGGCAGGGATGGCATTTGACCACTACCAACAAGGGCCAAAATGAGCATGTGCCCTGTGAAGTGACAAATTATTTACCTTCTTCCTAGACCCAAGTCCTCAAGCACATTCTTAATATTGAAACCAACCTAGTGACATACATCTTGACTGATTCATGACAAAAAACACACAGCATCATACAGAGATCTCCATGAAGTTTAGAAACAGCTTGTGAAGGTGCTGAACAATCTTGAACATCCATCTTTACTCAACATTTTATTTTGCCTACAAACGCTTATAGGTACCAAGGAGAGCTTTACAGTTTGGACAATAGTGATCCACATCCTGGAGAGCATCAATGCAGAAAGGGATAAAACAGCAGCCAGCTACACACCTGCAAAAGACAAAACAGTGTCTTTTGTGCTGTCTTCAGCTCACAGAAAGTAACATTCTTCCTGCACACAATGCCTGCACAACTGGCATTAATATATATATATATAGCACTGGACTTTCACTTTAGTTTTAAGCATGGCTTGTGGTTGAAGGCCACTCAGCCCATCATATCACATTTGCTGGGCAGAACCAAGCGAGTCCGAGCAGTTTTCAAGCGACTATAAACATGTGGGCGCTTCCATTTTTCTTATCCATGATTCTCTTGCCCCTTAGATGAAATGTGAAGTGCAAAGTGTTTCTGACTTACTGCTTCTGGAGTAAGTTAAGAGATGCATCAGTGGAAGTTTATTTCTGCCTACTTGGCTTTTAAACCAAAAATGTGTTAATATTAATAAGTAAAAATAGGACTAGGAAGTTTCCTGTGAAAGCACCTCAGCAGCACAGACTCTTGGCATGCATCAGCTCTATGGGAATGAAATGGGTGGACAGAATTAAAATGAAAGGATAGAATGTAAATCAACATACCCCAGCAGGCAGAGGCTGCCACAGGACAACCAGGTCAATGCTCCTGCATTGTGTGAGAGATGTGTCACTACCATCTTGTTACAGGAAGGGCAGCACATCTGAACTGGACGGTCGTAAAATGTTACTGGTTGCTGCACATACACTGTCTGAACTGCAACTGAGCAAACAAAGAAACATGTTCTAGGACTGTCAAACAATTAAAAAATTTGATTGCGATTAGTTGCGCGATTTAAAAAATTGGTCACAATTAATTGCGATTCTAATTGCGCAGCGAAAAACTCAAAATTATGCAGGTACTTTGTATGGTTGGGGGTTGATGCGGGGGATGTGTATGGGGGGGAATTTGTGAAAGTGTAAGTGGCTGAGGGGGTGCGTGGGGGGGTTTGGAGCCTGGGGGGTGGGGAGAGGAGCCCACACGCCCTGGCAGGAGCTAGGGTACCATGGGTCAGGAGTAAGGGACAGCAGCAGGGCTGTGGCTTGGAAGTGAGGGGCTAGGGAAGGGCACGGGCATATCACTGGGCCCCCCACAACCATATTCACCCCACCACAAGTGTCTTGTTTTTTTTTTTTTAACTAAAAATATGGTAACCCTACAGGAATGCAGCCCAGTGGCGTATAGAGCAGCACCCAGCAGACAGGTCTGTGGAGGGGGAGGGGGAAGGGGAGATGAAGGGGAAGGAGTAGGGGGTACAGATCAAGGCCCCCCACAGTAAGGGAGGGAGTGGAGCAGGGACATTGGCAGAGACTGGGGTGAATGGGACCCTGGGTCCAGGGCAGGTAATGGGATGGAGCCTCATGGAGGGGCGTAGGGGGGCCAGCTCCCCACCGCTGCAGGCACCCCTGGGGGGCACATGCCCCCCAGATTTGTGCGTGGGGCAGAAGTGGGCTGCCTGTTGTAGGCTTGGGATCTGTGCCCGGCTGCCTTTGCCCCAGGCAGCTCACCTCTGCCCTGTGCACAAACCTGGGGTGCGCGCATTAGTGGGGAGCTGCACCCTCCCCCCCTCAGTGCCTCTGGATGAGCCTCCCATGGCTCCGTCTCATGACCTGCCCTGACCCCAAGGTCCCATTCACCCCTGTCCCTACCCCTGCCCCACTCCCTCCCTCACTGTGGGGGCCTTGATCTCCCCCCCACCCCCTTTCCCTTTCCCTGACTTACATGCTGGGTGCTGCTCTATATGCTGCTGGGCTGCATTCTTGGCTGTGTGCATGCTGTGGCTGCATGCGGCTTCCCAATATGGCACTGATATATCACTGCATCTCTAGTTTGCCTGTGTGCAGCCCGTCCCACCCCTGGTCCTTGGAGGTGGTGGTGGCATGGGGTGCTGGTGGAGGGGAACAGCAAGGGCAAGCTCCTCCTCCCCCCAGGAGGTGATGGCATTCAGAGTGTTAGCAAGCTTCCCCCCCGCCCATCCCTGTCCATTCCCCTCCCCCCGCCATCATTCTTGATGGGTAATTTGCTAGTCATTATTAATAATAAAGCTTGTCAGACACAGTATTACAAGTAGGGCCTTATACATATTCAAGAATCACTTCTGCCTTGTGTCCTGTAACAGAGTAAAATGCAGTTAATTTGCAACTAGGGGTCCTTCCCATGTGCAGGTAAAGACACAATGGGACATAATTCACACAATCATGCCTCCTGCCATGCCACATGTATAGAGTTGACTGTATCAAATTTGATGCATCTCTGCATGACTGAACATTTTATTACTATATTTTTGCAGCAGTGCAAAGCAAAAGAAATTATGACAATTGAAGTCAGTGAAAAAGAAATCCAGATACCCTCTATTGCATCTGTAAAGCCTTCAGATGCTCACAAAATACTGAACATACTTCAGCTTTTGGCTTAACAGGATACAGATGACCAGCCTTTTTGTTTTATATTCTATAATTACTTTTACTCTGGCTATGAGTATAGCAAAAATCTTTGACTATCTCACTATTTCAGAATAACAATTCATATACCTCGAATATAGTGTTGTAGTAAGACATTGTACCTGATGCATTTATATGTATAATGAAAAATATGGTAAATAGTAATTATAAGTATCAAGAATCATTCTTGCATGTTTCTATGACATGCAAAATACCGTGATGTAATAATTAGTCATTCAAGTTAATTAGTCTTCATCTCAAAAAAGTTAAAAATATGGCTAACAACTGATAATTACTGACAGTCACTCATAGATATTTAGTCATCACCAATCCCCCTTGAGTGAAAAGTTAACAATATTTCTATTTGTTCCACTATACATGCAGTCTGGCAGACTATGTAGAAAATCTGTGAATCATGATCACTGCAAGTCTAAACAGTACCTGGATTAGGGTCCCTACATGCTACCACAAGTATAAGAAAATTGTACAAAACATCACTTACTTGGATTAGCAGCTGGTACAGCTTGTGTAGGATACGGAGGAGGATTCATACCCTTTGTGCCTGGTCCATGCCCAGGTCCTGGCATAGGATAAGGATATGGATAATTAACATTAATTCCTGTTGTCTCTTCATAGGAAGGAGGTGCAGAGGGGCCTGGGTAGCCTCCAGGAGCTGATGGACAGGGCTGAGGAGCAGCCATTGCGTCTAAAACAAAAAGGGGAGAAAACCAGAACATAAAATGTTTGGCAAGGTATTCAGCTCTGATACAGCATGCATTCACGTAATGAGAACAGGGCTTGCTGGTGAAGATTTTTTACTTGGTAATCTGGACAAGTTTTCTTATATTAAATGCAAGCCTTGACAGTTTCCACAGTGCTCTTCCCAGGATTCCTTGCTCTTTAAACTGAAAATGCTAAGGCACATCCATTATCTCTGGTATATGTACTAAACTAGCAACCAGTCCCCTCTATCTCTTGGAGAGAGAGGCAGGGGAGAGGAGGGTTCTTTGCATATCCCTTTAAATAGAAAAAGTACAAAGTACATTCTGCATTAATTGGAACATGTGAACCAGCGTTAAAATAAAATACATGTTCAGGATATGGCGGTTATTTTCGATTCATCATGGAAAAGTTAAAATAGGATCATTTTTATTGGTAAGTTTGCATAGGTAAATGCAACTCAAAAAGCCCCTTCACCTTTCAAAGGCTCTCAATGTTACATTTGCTACTTTATATTAAAGATTCAATGCAAATTCTGTTTGAGTTCAAACAATCATTTTTATGGCCATATGTCACTGGCATAAAAACAATGTTTTTTTCCTCTTTCCCCCATTTATTTCATTCTGGCCCCATGCTTACTTTTATTGTCTCCCTTCTCCCGGACTATGGACAGACATTCAAAAAGCCTGAGCCTGAACATTCAGTCTCTGCACGTTAGCCTAACCTACCTAGGTTGAACCAGTCTGCAACTGGACAGACATTCCCTCTGGACTGAGGAAATGCAGGCACATGCCTGCAGTGGCTCAGACTAGAAGTCGGGGGATGCTAAAGCAGCCCTCCCTTCTATTCGACAATGCTGAGCTGAGGGGGGCGTGGCCAGGCCATTCTGATTAAGGAGGCGTTTAAACCCCCACCCTGACCTGTAGTCCCAGGCTTTTCCCCACTCACTGCTCAAGGGGTGGGAGTGTTGCCAGCCCCCAGCCAGCACTCTGAGGCAAAGGGTGGAGGATGTGCACTGCATGCATCTGTTGATGATATTGAGCTTTTCCATCTTCCTGCTTCTTCATACTGTCTACAGCAAATCTGACAAGCAAGGGAGCCAGGAGGGAGCTGAAAACACAGCATTTCGCAGCCCATCAAGAAAACAAAAGCCTCTCATTAGTTCAAGCTCTTCTTAAACAGCCTTTTCCAAGGAAGGAATGTAGGGACATTACCAGTTATCTGTTGATCGTCTCTAAAACCCCTAAGTGGATGCTGTTCCATCTGCCTGTCCCAGTGAAACAGGACACACACACATACCTCTCAGCATCAGCTAGCATATCACATGCTTAAGGTCTGTGGCAGTAAAGGGTGAGGCAGGGGGAAGCCAGTGAGACCCTACTGTGCCTGCAAGTTTCTGCCAGAGCTCTGGGTAGGGAGCAGAGGGGTGGAGCCAGCCCTGCTCTCTGGAGCAGACAGCCCAGCCGAGCCCAGGGCTGCAAAGCATCTGGGATGCTGGGGGACTCTGGTTTAAACTTAAACCAGGAAGGGGTCAGAGATAGACACTGCAAAATGTCTTTATAGTAGGCTAGACGGAACCTGCATTTAGGACAGAACTTATCTGCTACTTACTGCATATACTTATGGCAGTATAGAAATAGAAACACAAGCCTCAAAACAAGAGAAATGCCATTAGCATATTTTTGATCCCATGCTTGTATGAAGTGGGTTAATTCCCCTCTCACTCTCTCTTTCAAACATAGCTAAACTTGACAAAGATTGCTTCCAATACTGATGTGGTAGTGAGCTGAAACAGCTAGTGAACCAAATGTTTCAGTGAAATCAATTAAATTGAATTGATGATATAGTAATAAATTCAACAATCGGTTCCTTCATAACTATTCCCATTCTTTAGGAGACAACTATGAGGAATGTTTCAATTTGAAGAGAAGCTGCTCTTAGTAATGCCATAGAGACGACATAGCATTTCAGTTATACAGAAACCGGCCTCAGTCCAACTCCAAAAAACAGTCCTCTACTGGGATACACTAATCACCTTATTAGCACTTACATATTACAAGATACAGCTTATCAGCAGGATATATAGTGGTAAGTGTAATGAACATTAGAATTTGGATACCTTACTCTTTTGGTAACTATTGTGAGCAACTTAACCGATTTCCAAACTTACGAATCTAAGAAGGCCATTTAAGGCCTTAAGGCCAACCTCCAACAGCAAAACTACAAAAGGATGTCTTAAACAAAGGCAACTTCCTTGTTTGGGTGGGAATTCAAACCAACACTATACAAAAAGGTTTACAAAATGAAGTTAAACAACAAACAAACCTCTTCTTGCAAGCTATGCCACATGCTTTGTGAATTTTTCAAAGTCTATTTACAGAAACATAATTTTACTAACACTTCCTCTAAAGCTATCACAACACACACTGTTACTAGGATATTGTGTAGAATAAAAACAGAAAGATAACAGAGCTGGATTCCTTTTTTTTAAAAAAGCGGTACTCACCATAAGGGACCCACATTAGGAGTTCTTTTAATGTGGTAGAAGAGGTGAAGGCAGATCAAGCTCTGTTGCAACAGGACAATGGCTATCATTAAGAAAAATCTCCAAATATATTGCAGAACACAGATATGGTTCATAAAATTGTTTATTCTCCTCAATGGACTTTGATGCCCAACAGGATCAGTTAAAAAAAATTACAGCTCCTTCCCCATACCCTTTGGCTAGGGACAAACTCAAAAAGCCTGAGCCTGAATTGATTCAACCTTTGCAGGTTAGTTTAACCTGGTTAGCTGAACCAGTTTCCAGCCATACAAACACTCCCTCTGAACTGAGGAAATTCAGGCACATGTCTGGAGTGGCTCAGGCTGGAAGAAAACAGACAGACATTACCAGCTACCTGTTGATTCAGCACAGACCCAGTATGTGGTCTGCTAGCTAATATACAGATACCTTCTCCACAAGGCAGAGGGGAGGGGGGAATTCCTGCTTAGCAGGGAGTGGCAGGGGGGGAGGAGGGGGCAAATAGCTCTTAAAAAGCTTTTTCAAGAAAGGACATTAAGCTAACTGTTGAATAGCTCCAAAAAGCCTGCCTGCCTCTGTCATCTCCCACAGCACAGACTGTAGCCAGCATGTGGTCTGCTAGCTAATGCTGAGGAGTCTGTGAGGGATGGGGGAATGCCTGCTTAGCAGAGAGTGGGGAGGAGAGAGGGGGAGCAGAAGCCAGGAAGATGCCTGCAGAGACTGCTAAGGCAACAAAGGGGAGGGGCCAGCTATGCTGTGGAGCAGAGAGCCCTGCCTAGCCAGGGAGCATGCCAGGATGCTGGATGACTCTGATTTATCTTAAACCAGCAGGGGATCTGGGACAGACATTGGATTAAGCAGTTTGACCCAAATCAGTTCAGTCTGACCCAAATCAGTTCAGTCTGACCCTACATTCAACCAGGTTTATCCCAAACCAGTTTCAGCTATTTTGAAACTGGTTTATGTGCACTGAACATCTGTTCTGTTACAGGTTTAAACCAGTTTCTGATCACTTAAACCAGTGTGTGTGTAATGTCTGTCCCTAGCCCCTGTGTGCAACAGAATCACCTTAACCCTGGAGCTGTGGCCCCCTCCTGATATAACTGGCTTTTACATTACCAGAAATAAGACAATGTGAAAAGGAGCTACCTTTTGGAAAGCTCTGAACAGGAGTTTCCTTGTGCAATTTTTTTGGAAATAATTGAGAGCAATGACTCTAAGCACAAAGCATTTTGGATTTCAACTAATGTGTGGAATCAGTTCAGTGAGCTATTAAGGCAATTATAAAGAGCATGCAAACCCATCATTCTGTCTCCAACTGAAATGAAAAGAAAGGATGTTAAATTCCATGCATTTTTTAAAATCAATTGCCTGCCCAATACGTGTTGATAAAATAAACTCGACATTCAGCTCTGGAAGTTAAAATGTTAAGAATTTTTCCTTTTAACCACAAATTTATTTTTATATGTCTTATTTCAGAAATCAGCATCTGGGCCTCGTAAACAAATTAAGGTTCACCTTGTTTACAAAGCATGCTGCTAGATAGGGGCCTAAAACTATCCTGAACTTGCCCATCTGACTGCTGCTAGAAAATTCTGAGCCTCTGAAATTTGGCTTCTTTCAGCTGACATCTGGTTATCTGAAACATAATGTAAGGAACCTGACACTAACTCAATCTAAGATTAGATACATTTAGAACTCTCAAGCCATAGCAGCAATTTCAACAATGCTTTCTCAATTTATCTAAAAAAAAAACTACATAGTACCAGTATTCATACATTTCAAACAGTGCTCAGCATTACCCAGACACAACATGCAGGTTCAAGGACATAACGGCTAGCATGTTATCACAAAGTAAACAGTATTTTTAATACAGCAAGCGATGCTTGAAACAACAAAACATGCTTCAAACATTTCAAAATCCAGGAGTGGGTAGAGAAGCTTGATTATCAGAGAAACTAGGTGGAAGGTAAACGGGAGTACATAAAGTTGTTTCAATTACACTTCAGAAAAAAGAAACCAAATGAAATCAATCTACACTAACACATTTCATCAAGAGAGAACCTGTAAAAAGTGAAAAATATTTGGGTATATAAATCCTATAGGACTTGCTGAACTAGAATGACATTTAAGTAACAGCCATTTGTGCTTTTAGAAAAGCATGTTGTCTAAATAGAGCACAGAAGAAAAAACGGATCAGTTATGAACACAAAGGCTGGGTACAGACATTCAAAAAGCCTGAAGCAGAATCTATGTTACGCAGCTTTCTGTAAGCGGTGTAGTTTAGATCAGTAGCCAACAGAACACACATTCGGGGGTGGAAGGTGGAAATCTTAGACTAGGTTCTGCCATTTTTAAACCAGGCTGTGTGCTCCAAACTTCTGTTCTGTTACAGGTATAGACCAATTACTGGTCACTTATACCAGTAAAAGTGTAATGTCTCTATGTACCTGGCCTTTGGAAAGCAGTGGAAAGAAAAATGAGGGAGAAGAAAAACCAGACACAAGCTTCATATTGACCAAACCAAGAAACTACTTAATAAATAAGAGTTAACCATCACTGAAGCACTCTGCTCAGCTACATTGCTGCACGTGGTAGCTGAACCAGACAGCTATGTAAATGCAAGCTGCCCATCCATCTAAATTTTTGCCTCATCCATATTCAAATATGAATTGGTTTAAATTTAAAATTAAATTTAAAACAAAATTTAGTAAATATGGACACAGTGGACACTTTCAGTTTGATTTAAACCTGGCTTGTATTAATGGTTCACCCCAATCAAGTACTGTACAGTTTTATATTGGTTTAACTAAATTAAAGACGCACAAAACACCCCTTTTAGTTAAATGGTACAACCTAAATACTTTTTTTTTTTTTTTTTTTTTTGCATACAACACTATCCTTCCCTTCCCTTCCCTTCCCCCCACTCAAACCAGCTGTTGGAAATTGGGGGTGTGCATTATAAGGAACAAAACACTATAATAGCAATTTCTGTCACTGGTAGTGGGGGAGGGAAAGTAATGTTGTAGTGGCTGTATATGGGGTTCCCTAGCTACTACCTCCTCTCCCCACCCTGCAAGCAGAGGCTCCTGATGCAGAAACTTAGCTGAAGTACTTGCTGCTACTTACCAGTCTTTTAAAGAAAGAACTTTTTCCCCTTCATTCAAAAGCAAGGTGAGTATTTTATTTGGTAGTATATGGTATATGAGAAAATACAGTAATTTCTTAACTCAGCAAAGTGAATTCCACAGTAGCAAACAATGAGTGTTTGTGGGGAAACTATAAAAAACTCGTATCTTTGAAGCAGGCACACTTTTCTGGGAGCTAATCTATTACATCAGACTTAGAATTTTGTTTACTACAATGAAGCCATGTGAATCGGCAAGCATTAACAATGGAGAAATACATAGAGCATGACAGTCATGCGGGTGCAGAAGAACTTGTCCAACCAGTAGGTCTGACAGGCAAAAAATGAAGAAACAAAGTAACAATCCCTGTGTTGTTCAAGGGAGGGGAGAAAAAGGTAATATTTTTCAAGGTTCCTGAAACACTACAGGAAAAACCAAAAGCTAAGTGTTGTACCATCAAATAATATCCTCCACATGAATTATCATTAAATAGGAATGTTAGGTGCTATAAAACTGGTAGGCATTAAGGTGGAAACTAAACCAAGTAGCTGGTCATTCCAGATGTATTCCCATTGTCCAGCTCTCAGTTTCAGAGGGTATTTTTTGTGTGCAATACTGTCCCAAGAGATTTCTAATATTTGGTCAGATTCTTTCAAGCTCCAGTTCTCTTGAAAAGCCATGAATCCTTATTCTCTTGAAAAGCCAAGAATCCTTCAGTAAGCCTGCAGGATCCTTACTGAATGCAGCAGCCTATGTTACCCTGACTGCAGCCAACTGACTGAGATTGTAGAGTGAGATTCCCTGAAACTCTCAGTGGATCAATTTAATTCAATGGTCAGACACCATTATTTTATTTCCCCAATAATGGATGTCAATCAGCAGCTTGTTTCATTCTCTAAGGATGAATAAAGGCTTCAACAAGATAAAAGGCTGAATTCTTAACTCTTATTTTGCAAAGGACTAAAAGCATTTTTTAACATTAAACCTTGTAATATTGTACAATGTATGTATAATATTATTGTACATGGTACAAATTTGTTACCACTAGGTACACATAGAAACGGAGGTAGAAAAACCAGAGACTTGGTCAATTAAATTGGTCTATTTGACCCAAACTTCAGGGATCCAACTATGTTACAAAGTACACTACCACTTTATAATTTGATCACGCACCATAATACCTTAAAATCAATAACTTAGAAAGCTAGTAACTAAATTTACAAGGCTGGCCACAACTCTCCATAAAACAAAACCAGAATCCAAGGATAATCCATGTGTGGGTACCATTAAGAGTTGCACTGTTTCAATGCTGAAATAATAATGTAATATAAAAACAGCTGGGTGAACAAAAATTTGCAAACAAATTCAGATATCACTAGCTAAAAAGGATGGGGAACAAAACAACTTAAATCTATATCCTTGGAAAGTTCTTACTGCTGTTCTGCAAAATTTCTCTTTCAGAAGCCTTCCAAAAACAGCTTTTTTGGGTCCAAGACTGTGGTAGAAACCCCCAATATAAAATAAGAACCATCACAAACCACCCCAACTTTGTGCTGTAGGGCAAAACAAGTTCTTTGACTTAGGCAGTCAAGGTTCTTTGGGTAAATGTGATATCTTTTATTAGACCAACTAAATAAATAGTTGGAAAAAATTGTTCTTTGCAAACTTTCAAGCACAAATACCCTTCTTCAGGCAGAGAGTCCGCTGGGATCACGTGTTCTTTATAGGACTTTACCTTTTCTAACAACACATCAATAGAGGTCTCCCTTCTCTCCCCCCTTCTATACTTATGAAAACATTCCCAAACAAAAATGCTCTAAGTATGCCTCTCATACTATTTTCAGAGGGAGCAGAGAGAAAAAGCTGTTGGGGTTTTTTTTGTCACATTTGTAATTTACCTAAAAAATGTAGTCCCAAATGAAGAACAAGAAGTCAGAACATTCTCTTTCGATATTTGCAAAACGAACTATTCCAAAGCCACGTTTGTTTTGGAATTGACCAACATTTAGAAGACTAAGGTTCAAACAATCAAACAGAGCAAGACGGCCTCCCCGATATCAGAAACAAACATCTACCACTCCTCAAAATACATGTTTCATCAGCGAGAACAAGACAGGGTAACATTGGATGCAATGAATATTGTGCAGTTTACTGTGCAATACAAGTACTTTAAAAGATATTAATATTCCACTCATTCAGCCAGACAAGGTTTCAGCCACAACTTTTCACACCAGCCATCGCTGACATTCAGATCTCTCTAAACAGAAGGACAAAGGAAAGCCCCCTGCCCAACTGTGTGGAGGAGGAATTTTGACCAGTTGCCCTGAGGAAAGCCCCAAATCTTATAAGTGCTGTATGATTTTAAGTGCCCATTCAGAAGGCAAGAGTTCAGTGTCTACCAACATTATAAGGAACTGTGAGAGTTATACACAAAATGAGCCACTTATTTAATTCAAAGAGAAGTTACCTTAATGGAACAGGCACAGTGCTGGGCTGGTAGCAGAGTTCCTCCTCTCAAGACACCCCTTCCTTAAGATTCAGATAGGAAAGATGGTGGTGAAAAGTACCAGACAATCTAAAAGAGGACAATAAGGGCTTAAAAACAGAAGGCTAAAGCAACGGACACAAGACTATTTGCATATACAACTTGCAAATTAGGCAAAATTACTGGTGCTTTCACGATCCAAACCTACAATATACAAAAAGACTTTAGGAGTAGCATGCAGACTACATGCAAGAATGATGCACAGGAAGGCCCTAATCATTTCAGTAAGCTTCATAATACATGCCTCTAATTCAGGCAAAGAAAACAATTGACAGAGACTGCAGCTTCTTGGTGCAAACTATGCACCTCATTTGCTTTCAACCAAAGGATGCAGCTATAGGACACATGGGCCAAAGATTCTGGCCATTAGCCTCAGCGTGTGCTCAAGACTCCCATGACTACCTGTGAGTGCTCCCCTCCCCCACCAACTCATGGTGCAAGACAGTGGCTATCAACTCACTACACCCAGCTGTACTCAGTGACATAAAAGTGAGTTGACCCAAGTGCCAGCCAGGAGTAAATGAGGCAACTTAAATACCCACTTCAACTTTTCCTATTGCTAATTATAATTTTGGAGGGAGAACCATGACTATAGAAGGCTGCCACTACTCCACAATCCTGCCTGTTTTTCACCATACAGACTTTTATCCAATGCATATTTTGGGGGAAAGGAGCAGCACCCCTTTTGGGAGCCTGCCTAGGTGGAAAGTGACCACCACAGCTCTGCTTCCTTCCATACAAAACTAACTCACTGAGCAGAGAAAAGGAAGGAAAAAAACCTACTAAACAGCTTTGCTTCAATCAAAACTGTTCAGATTAACAACAGTGGTATAAAGCATACAGGAACTATGCAACAAACCCAACTCCAGAGAGTGATGCACCAAGACACTCCTCTCTCAGAGTCTGACCCTCAGCAATATGAAACCTTCCTAACCATAATGAGGCCAGGTGGATCTTGCACCTGTTTGTGGAACCTAAACAAACCCTGATGGCTTCATTGAGGTTTGCTTGGAAAAGCTGGCTTCATTCAACCAAGTGTCTCCAAACCAGCTCCAGGGGAATAAACCTAAAGCTATTAACGGGGTTCTCACTCACCCCCTGGCTCCAAACTGTTGACTGTTTAACAGGCAGAATCTCAAAGAAGTATGCCACATCTGGTTATACATAGGGGGTCTACTTAACTCACAGCAAGACAAAGCAGTTTTCACAGTTTAAGTCTTGACACAGAATTGATTGTGTGGGCATTTCCTGTGGCCCTGCCCCTGGTCACTGACTGGCAGAGGGACACTGGTATTGCATTTAGCTTCTTAAAGGATGGCATTGAAACATGTTCACTTCACTGACTGGTGCCTTCACTTAAGTCTATGCAACTAGCAGACAGCAAGTCAATCGTGATCTATGACTGCAGTGATTGTTGTGTTGTCTTTGTGTTGCGGTGAGCATTGGGACATTCTAAAACAGTATATTATATAATGGGGGGTTAGGTTGATTGTGTGTGAACTTGTTCATGATTGCCAGGAAATACTGCATTGGTGGCAACTATGAATTAAGCAGACCCCTAGTTATACATACTAGTAGTCTTGCTAAAGGAGAAAATTATGAAACCTTTTAGGGCTACATCAACCTGGAAACTTATTAGCTAAGGACTTATTATGAAGCCCCAATTCTTATAACATTTCCCTCATGGACTCAAGTTTAGAACTGACAAAAAAACCTACACTGACTTGAGATAACATCTGACCTCATGGTATGAGCTAGTTGAGAGGCAACTGCACAGCATGCTGCAGCAAAGGCATGTCCCACTAGGCAAAAGTATTTTTCAACCGTTATCTGAGTATAAGCTTGAAAAGTTTTTGGAGCAGTCACTAAGATGCAGGCTACACCCTGGTCTATATGACTTCCACAGGTTGTGCATTACAAACCATATGAATGTGTTTGATTGGTGCGGGGTGGGGGGAAAGAAGGGAGGTGATGCTAGCTTGAATTCCTATAAGGATTTTTCAAATCCCATAGGAGACAAGGGTAGCTGTCCCTAGATGTAGCAGCTTGAGGTAAGTACTATAGAAGAGAATGAATAATTTAAGTAGTTCAGAATCTATTGACACATACCCAAACTTGTTTAAAGCCGTGTTTAGAGGGTCCTGTTATAATGTTCACTTTACCCCTACACCACAACAGTACTGCAAGCAAGTTTGTTTTGAAACACTGGCTTGTGGTCTACAAGAAAAGCATGGACTTTGCCATCATTTATCTTGACCTGTTAACACTATGAACTGCCATGTCCACACCAGCATTTTCCCAGGTTTTAGTTAACACATTAGCCAAAAACTAGCAAAGAAACCTTCTACCATGGATGTAACCTACATCCTAAAAGATCTTCTTTAGCATGTTTGGCTGAGGTAACTGAAAAAGTGTACTTTTGTTTTGGTCTGTAAAGCCAGGGCTTAATTGTGTGCCACTGGGGAACCCAAAAGGAAAGGGAGAAGAAAGAGTAAGGATTGTTTTATTGTCTATAGGCAAGAAACAGCAGTAGGGCAAGATACTGGATTGCAAAGGAACAAGTAAAAAGTAAGAGTCAAGTCAGTCATTGGCTTCACCAGAATTGCAGGTGAATTGGGCTGGTTCTTATTTTTCTTTCATGAAATGTTTCCATACCTACTTTGATGCTACTATTTCAGAATATGTAGACATACACATAGATTCCATAATACAAACTAATATTTGGATAAAATGATCACAGTTATTGGCCACATTAGAAAAAGAGGATATAAACAAATAAGAACTGGCTGAAAAGTATCAGTTCATAGCAACATATATATATTTTTAAAAATTACTTTAGCCATCTTACCAGTAATAAAGCCATATTGCTAAAACTAAAGCTGTAGTTTAAAAAACATTTTTCACCATTATTTATAGGTGGGGAGTTCAGGTTTCTTTTCTTCTTCAAAACTTTTTGCACATCATTACACTTAGGAAGAAAACTAATTAGCTATATATTTGTTTACAGCCTATTTTATTTCTTGTTCTCCTGTATGAACATGTTTAGATTTAACTATTTATTCCACACCTGTGTATACAACCTGAACTAATTTGTCCCCAATTTTTTTAAACACAAAGACTTATTTGTGTAGGCATCAGGATTAAAAGGACACTGCAATGTAATTATCTTTAACTCTAGCTGTAATAATATTGATAAGAGCAATTAGCAATACTCCAGGCACAGAACTGGCCCAGTGAATGTAAAGTATAACTTTACCAGATTACAAACAGGTTTAACTTTTATTTTTAAATCACATTTTAAAACTAGTGCAGTAAAAATATATAGATAAGGTTTGTGTCCATCATCAGCTACTTTTCAGAATAAAGCCTGCTAAAAATAATTGTTCTAAAACTCCTTCAGCGCATCTATACATTTTGGTGAATAGGGGTTTTTTTTGGTTTTTTTAATGGTCATACAGGGTGGCTTAGAACAGAGCACCAATGTTAATGTTTAGCTCTGTAACTGTAGTGACTGTTGCCCAATGCAGGTTTGTCAGAGCTACATAATATGCTAGCTTGTTTTTTTTATGTTAGTTTATTTTTACTGACTCTTCAGAGAACTTCAGCAAACAAGATGCCAGATAAGAGCAGCAAGGATAGGTTTCCAGCTTTTATTAATAGCCACATCTGATTACACAGAAAGAATATGTGGAGGAAAAATAAAAAAAGGAAGGAAATGCAACTTAGGGGAGTGAGCGTGTGTGTAAATACCAGGATCCTTTTGTTCATTAGGTTTCAAAACAGAGGTGGGTTGTATGTTTTAAATTTCATGACTCCTTATGCTTAAATTCACTGTATTTAAAACAGAGAGAGAGAGAGAGAAACCACATGCAGACAAGCTCTGCAATTCCCCTCTTGTGCTGTATCACACAGGCTAGTATGCATCTTAGTGTAAAAGAGAAAATTTAGTCCACTGCACTTCTGTTCCACAGGAAATGTTCGGGGGGGACCAGCTGCCATTTTATTTTTTAATCCAGGAACAGCACTGGAAATACCGGTGTAATGAATGACCTACACACACCTGGGCAGAGTGCGTTCAGTGGAAGGAAGCAGGCTCTGTGACCAGACAGCTTTACTAGAAGGAAACAAAAGGCATAGCAGGTGAGTCAGAAATAACTCATTTAGAATTTCCCCACAGGAACTGTAACTAGTGGGAAGTAATCTCTTAACAAATCAGAGGTGGGAAATGCAAATTCGAAGATGCAAGGCAAAACAAGCTTGAAAACAGAAGCTGAACAGGATGTGCTCCATCTGAGGGCTGGATTCTGTTTTTACCTACACTGCTGTGTAACTGTTGTAGTCAGTGAGTTGTCCTGGTACAAAACTGGCCTAACAATAGAATCCAAACTCTACTGCAGTCACTTGTACCAATTATTATTTATGGCATGCCCAGAAATGCCAGCTCTTAGTTTTTACCAGGTTTTTCAATTACAGAAAAATTGAGAAGTTTCTGTTGCAAAGAACTCAGATGACAACAAGGCAGAATATTTTTAACACTATAGATTCCTATTTGAGATCTTTGGGTTTTTCTTGCAAATCAAGTGTGCACACTTAACAGCTAACATTACACAGCACCCTGTGGAACAACTGAAAGGATCTCAAGGCACCCTAGGGTGATGCAGCACCCTGGTACACACTTTTTTCCGTGATTACATCCTAATGGCTGAGTATCTGAAAACCTTCCACGTGGCACCAATTCTTGAGTTGTGTTGATCATCATCATCTTATCACGTCTTCACTTTCCTTTCTCCAGAGACTAAAAGAATTCTGCTCTTTCTTCAACTCTGTTGCCTGGCTTTTCCTGTTCCAATGAGAATCTTGCCATGTGATGCCACTGTCCTAACACGAAGCACGAAGGATTCTTTTCTCATCTTATCAAGATTCCTTTAAGCTTCAGGTCCAAGTCTCAGTATCCTTACTTCTAGTAAGTAGCAGAACCTGCTAATTTCTGGTTCTGGTCTGGTGATAAGCCTGGTAATTCTTCAACAAAAGTTCCCAAGAGGCCTCTTCCTTACTGGTGTTGGCATGAATCACAAGTCCTCCTTTTGGCCCTCTTTGTGTTCTTTTGTATGATCACCTGCACATTTATCCTTATATCTTCTTAAGCTCCAGTCTGACTATTTCCATCATCTCTTCCTTCTCTTAAGGGAATCGTTTTTATCTTCTGTTTCTACCAGTTTCTTCTCAGATTTCCAGTGCAGCAAACCTGTTCCTTACAGTACTTCTCCCCCAGTAGCCAATGGTGCCTTGTCCCCATGATCACATACTTGCATAGGTCACCCTCTTCATCTATGAACCTCCTGTCCAGATCTTGTTAGGCAAGCATGTGGGCTAGGGACAGACATTACATATAGTAACACGGGGCCTTCCCAGTGCCAGTTAGATGTTGGCCCGCCCACCTGTTTCTGGGCTAACCGCCTGCCTCTCTAGTCTGCCACACCTTGATGATACATAATTATGGTGTTAATTAGGCAGGAGGCTGCCCATTTTTGCTCCCCGATGCCAGGGGGTGCCATCTGCAGCTCCGTCCCTCCCCTACACCGTAGCCCATGCCTCACAGATGGCATCTCAGTTCTTAATGTCTCCAGCCCCACACTGGGCTCTGTAATACTCCAATCTGGACCCCAACCAGATCCCTTCTATCAGGCGGCCTACTCTGCCCTCATTCGGGGCGGCCTAGCTCCCCGCACTCTTCCCCCTCTCGGGTGTGCTCTCCCCCAGGACCTTTGGCCACACAGGCCCTGGTCTCACCTCCACGGCCAGTCGGGAACCCCAGGCCCTCAGGTCTGGGCATCCCTCACGGTGGCCCCTGCTCTTTTCGACCCTTCTGGTCCTGGCCTCAGCACTGACCAGTTGAGGGTGCCTAAAGTCTGAGCAACCACCCCATACTCTTTTACATGGGTCCACTTTCTTGGGCCTTACTATGGGGTTACCCAGCTGGTTGTGGGAGCTGGGGTTATTAAGGTGCCCTAACCCACCTTTCACTGGGGTGGTAACTGCCCTGGCGTTTCCTGGGGGCTCCTGCACCACGAGGAGCCCCACCAGGCTACCCATCCCCGGCAAGATGCAGTTTTAGGTCATGCCTAGGACCAAGAGCCTCCTAGACATCCCCATAAGCTCTTGCCCTTACCTCCACGTGTTCCTGCTATAGCTAAGCCAGGCAATGGTTCCCCTTGGGCTGGCAGCAGCAGACTACAGCTTTTATATACCTAGTTCTCAAAATGGCAGCTGTACTCAAAACACCTGGCTGCTGCCTGCTCCAGCCCTTAAAGTGGCACGCACCAACAGTGCCCTGCCACACACACAAACCAGTTTAAGTGATCAGAAACTGGTTTAAACCTGTAACAGAACAGATATTCAGTGCACATAAACCAGTCTGAAAATGGCTGAAACCAGTTTGAGATATATCTGGTTGAATGTAGTATCAGACTTAACTAATTTGGGTCAAATCAATTTATGCAATGTCTGTCCCAGACCTTCCTGGGACATCAACACTTTACTTGATATCAGATCTAGCTTCAGTCATCAACGTTTTTCCAAAGCAAGAATCAAGTCCTACATTTTAAATTCCTAACTATCCAAAAAATGCAGAGAGCAAAAACTAAGACTTACTTTACTTGCAAGCCAGGACAGGTGACTTCCCAGGAGATTTTTTGAGAGACAACATAACAGCACCAACTGGAGAAGTACTTCTGAACCCTTTTAGATTCAAGAAAGCCCTCGACAATGTTTCTGAATTTAGTGCAATCCCATATTAGAACCTAAATTACTTATTATAGTGTGTAAAAAAAAAAAATAAATAAATAAATAAAAATAAAAAAATAGCATGACTGGAAATATATTTTTAAATGTGGTCTCAAACAAGACCAGAACATGTCAGAATGTTTTTGACAATATGCATTTCCTCTGAAATTTCTGGGTTTATTTTGTGAATCACGTATAAGTGTTTGCACACCTAGGGGGCATCCAGACTAGTGCAGATGTGTGGTATATGGGGGTTTCTTTGCAGCCGGGGGGGGGGGTTTGACCTCGGGAAGCACACGCCACCCCCCAAAAAAAACCCTCAGAGCCATGCTCCAGATACCGACCAGGCTCCCTGCCACAAGAAATGCTGACACTGCAGCTCCAGGATCCCAGTAAGGGACAGTTGCTGGCCCCAGCCTCCCCTACCCCACTTGGAGTAACCTGCCACATGCCAGAGCACGTATGGCACGGGCATTCCCCAGGGACAAGTAGAAGGGCACAAGGCGCGCTGCTGCTACCTGTCCCTAGGGAAACACATGTTCCTGCTCATGGGAATATACCCCTAATGGTGCTAAAGGGATCTCCTGGCAATGCATGTGAGAATCTCTCATCTAGTGTGTGTTAATCAAACAACACACCTAACATGGGCAGCCTCTGTGGCAGGCCATTAGGAGGCGCTCCTGGGCTGAGTCACCTGCCTCACTGTGCATGGCCAAAAACCAGGCTTTGGATGCCTCCCCAGGGGTGCCATCTTTTGGCTGCTCCCCTTCCTGGAGCACACCCACAAGCCTGGGGTAACCACTGTCACCACTTGGACTCGGGTCTTTGTCTGTGCCCTATGCCACCCAGGATACACAGACCCTCTAGACCCTGAGGTTGCTTAACCCCAGCAGGATATATCTGGGTGCGTCTTATAGCCTGAAGCAGGGAAAGTAGCCTCCCTTAGTCAGCCGAGTAAAGGGAGCAAGAAGGCCTGCCTAATCCCTCTCAAGCATGTACAACCAGGCTGGCTATATCGGATAGCTTTATTGTAGACAGGATAGGCATGGGAAGAGGTACAAGTCAGAGAAGTAGCAAAAAAATAACCCTGAGCAAACAGAGAGGCTTGGCAGCCCTTTGACACGCAACTAGAGTACATTAATCTAAGTTCCTAGTCAAGTTTCTGATAAGTTACTCGCTTCCACATCCCGAGTACAAGAGAGAGAGCTGCGAAGGTCCACGCTTCTCTGTGTGTGAGTTCTAAAATGTACAACCTCCTTCTTCCTAGAGGGGACCCTTTTAAACAGCCCTTCTGACCTCACCACTTATACCCAGTCAGGAACAGGTATCATTTGATGTTGGCCAATCAATTTGAAAAACATCACAGTTACCTAGAAGTGACATGGGCTTAAGCCCCTGCCCCTAGGTCATGAGGTCAGAGCTCCAAACAATAGAGGTTAAATTCACACCCTCTTCCCTGAGGGTCACATCAGTCACATACTCAGTAACCCAGGGCAACCAGGTTGACAGACATGTGAGAGGACAAAGAAAGAGGAAAGAAAAAAAAACAGAAGAGGAGGCTGGGAATGGAGTTCTGTCACAGCTTCTGTGTGTGGCATGCAGCTGACTGGGAAGGGAGCACAGAACAGAGCAGCAGATCTGCCAGACAGGGAACACAGGAGCAGAAAGCAGAGTGGCAGAGCAGGCAAGGGAAAAGGATCAGAGTGATGCTCAAAGAGTCTATAGGGCCAATGTGGTATGCCTGCCAAAAAGTTTGGCCCGCTGCCCTAGACATTGACTATTTCAGCATAACCCCAATTAGTTTATTCTGATTATTCTAGCACAAGGCTCTTGAAGTTGGACTATTTTTTATAAATGAGTCTTAGGTTTCAAATATATATATTTTTTAAATGAGGTGTTTGCTTTCTTCAAACTTCTGTTGCTTCCAAGAAGCTTTTACGATTTTTCTATAATTTCTCCCCCTCTCCTTATTTCTACACACATTTCTCAAGATGGATCTCCTTTCAGGAAATGCAAGATTTCTAATGTAATTTGACCAAATGCAGAAGGGGTTGGACATTACCCTCTCCTGTGTCACTCATTGTGGCTTATGTTAGAGTGGCTCTCAAATAGAATCATAGAATCATACAAAATTAGGGTTGGAAGGGACCTCAGGAAGTCATCCAATCCAACCCCCTATTCAAAGCAGAACCAAATAACATCAAGTATGTCAACTTCGCATGACAATTATTATCTGACAGTTATGGATCTCTACTCATTTCCAAGAATATGAAGAGTCTCTAAAACATTTTAGATTACTTGACTGCTTAACCAAATTTCAGCCAGGAGCTCAGTAAAATAAATGTTTACTTCCTCCAACAGTCACATAAACTTGCTCCCTGAACTAGATTATAGATTTCATAGATTTCATTGACATTAGGACTGGAAGGAACCTTGAAGGTCAACAAGTCCAGCCCCCTGCCCCAAGGGAAGGAAGTCAGCTAGGGTCGAAGGATCCCAGAAAGATAAGCATCCAAACATTTCTTGAAAGAGTTCAGAGTAGGTGCCTGCACCACTTCTGGAGGGAGTCTATTCCAGGCCTTGAGGGCTCAGACAGTGAAGAAGTTTTCCTCCTCTGTATGTAACATGTCAAACTGCTGCGTTGGAAAAACGCTAAATCCTGGCACTAGTCAATCAGTCATCTCATTTGAATAAGAAGAAATGAGAGAAACACTTGTTAAAAGAAGCAGTTTTGCATTTAGTCCTGCTAGGAATTTACGGTTGTATCATTTCTAAGAAGAACACAGGTGTCATCCTCAGACACTGTTAGACAGACGACTCCAAATACAGCTGTGGGTACAGTTTAAGGGCAGTATTTGTTTCTAGTAGCACCCGCAGCTTGCTGAAGACAAGATAAATGGAAAAAACTGACAATTGGGAAGAGACTCAAAAAAGGGTAAAGATGATTCAATGCATTTTCAGTAATTCTGTTTTTACTAACAGTTACGAGGATGTTGATACATAAACATTTCCCAACTGCCCACAAGAAAATTAGCTTAAATGGGTCTGCAATTGTATCCTTCTTTAAGTGGAGATGGAGGACTTGAACACCAGCAATCTACAAATGCTCATGGACTGCTCTTTTCAAAGGAAAAAAAGTTGCTCTAATGACTGAAATAAAGAGGCACATACATACCACCTCTACCAACTGCCCTTCAACCACTGCTATTTTTATAAAGAACAGCAGTAGTATTTGAGACAGTGATAATAGTCCAGCATCCACCATCACCATTATACAAGGTTGGCTATATTACTTTTCACTCTATTGCTCTTTTGCAAGTATTACAGCTTTTCATTACATGTGAATATTTATTACATTTTTTTAGCAATACCAAAACTGATGCCATCTTGGACAAAAGGAACAAACCAAAAAAAATCTGCCAGAGTTACTCACGAAGAAAACAGATAAATAACTCTACATAGAGAAGTTCAAGACAACAGTGTGTCCACTATTCAGAGCACTGAAAGAAAACATTAGGTAGGCTTTTGTGTAAAACTCAGCTTCAAAAACAAAAATTATATTGTTTGTTTAAGAGACCTAGAAGTGACTGTTCTTATCCACACAA